TGAAGGTCTTCAGGAGTCACAATTGGGTAAAAACTGAACTTTGACAGTTTCCAAGGGCAAACTGATGGGCTATCATGCCGAAACAGCCTAACAGCTGTAACGCAGTGATCAATAAAAACAAGTACTTCATGAAAACCTTGACATGTTCCTTGTCCAACGCCTCAGCGAATCGATCAGGAAAAGGCTCTGCAAAATCACACGATAGCGCTATAGAAACTAATGGGGTGGAACTTCTTATCCTCCAAATTCTCGGCTTTCAGTTGTTGTATCAGTTTCTTTTTTGTTGCAGATAGTGAAACGATATAGAACTGGTTGGAACTTCTGCGAATTTCTTTTGAACAAGCGTTGGGCTACTGGCTATGTCCTACCTGTTCGAAGGCTTGCTCTGCACTTTTTGAGTAGTCGATGCTTCAAAAAAGGCTTTTTGCGGATACTTATACCCAACGAGTACTCTTGGTTCTCTTAGTTGTTCATTGATTGTTCCGCTATGTGCAGGCTCCATAGCTACCGACATCTACGACAATGCAAGAAAATATCAGGGGTTAAATGATTATGAAGAACTTCTGATACTCTCTAGTCTTTTGGTTTGTCAAAATTAAAGCTTGGAGCTTCATATTGGTGCTAAACATTCAAACAACATGGGACAGCGCAAGACCTAGAAGCAAGGGACTACCCATACAAGGAAAAACTTGAGCCTTGGCGCGAGAGCTGCTAGCGCCAAGGTAGCGCCTTAACGCCAAATGACGCCGGTGATGAAACAAATGTCACACCCGTAATCAGGGCAGAGAATAACTCCATAGGCGAAGTATCAGCAAAAAAATCCCATTTAGGATTTAGGGTAAAATATTTCAATAGAGCCAGTGGAGCTGTGTCTAATGCATCTACGCAAACCTCTTGAAGGAGTAAGAATTCAGTAAAGCAGAACATGAATCGAGGGAACGTCGGCAGTCGCAGCGTCGCACTGCTTGTCGACCACGTCGAAACATAAGAAGTATCGTCGTAACCTTGACATGAATAATGGCATATTGATGGCACTGTTCGGGGAAGTGCAGGACGCTCAAATTCAACTAAGGGAGGCACTTTCGACAAAGGTAAGCGAACTGAGTAGGGTGAATCGATTTTTCCCTAAAAAATTCTTACGCAGTAAACATCGTAATGTCCGCAACGAGCGAGGTTAGAGGGTCTTTGAAAGAAGAAAAAAATTGTTCCCTGAGAAAGAAGGCGGAAGGACGAGGGGCTCTCGTGACGTGGTGCACTGGCTCCGCCCTTTCGGCGATCCTAATTGGTGCCTACGAGAGACATGTTTACGATGATGATATAGGTGGGAAGAGCCAGGCATCCACTCATGTTCAATGTTTTCCGTGTGGCAACGAATATGTTGAGTGGAACTTCAATGATGGGCTCAAGTTTCAGGAAAATCCTTGTCTTCCGAGGCCCATGCCATCTCTGCATAAGGTGAAAATTTCCGCTCAGTCAACTGTAACATTTACGGCCGTTTCCGCTGCGGACGCTGGGCGGGTCAGGGGAGCGGGTGGTTGGG